CCTATTGGCAGTTTAAAAAGTTCACAACTGCAACTTAGTACTTATAAGTATGTACAAGTCGTTGGCTGCAACTTGAGGTGTTTTCACAACTTCAATTGTAATTGTAGTCAATTGCAAAAATGAAGCAAACAACTGGAAATGATCCAGAACATGCTGATCAATTGCATGCAAATTAAATCGTTACAAACACTACAATTTCAATGAACCAAATAACACCATGGTATGTGTTATCTTGTGCATGCATGCATGCTTGTAGTACTAATGGTCTAATATTATCAAGGGAGGCATGCATCGGTGTCTTCCTTTATAAAACAACAACATCGGAGGCTCATCAAGACCTAAAGAAGTAGCTAGCGGTACGTCACTCTCTTATATTTCTAATCTTAGTCAATCTCTTTTAAAGACAAAAGAAAAGCCATCTTCTAGGAGTCTTGAATGGGTTTACAAGCCAACCTTTCAAAGGTTTCCAGCTAAAAGGACTATTCTCGGTCAAGTTCTTTAATTATTTGCTCTATTATTCTGTCTTCCGACTGCCAAACAAACTTGGGAATTTGGTTCTTGTCATCTGTCACCAAATCTGACCTCTAGAAGTTAATTATATCCTAAGTCCTTCTTGCTTGCATAAAAGTTTGAACCGTCTACAAAATCATAAAGTTGTTTATAAGATGCAATGGAATATTACCATCCAAATTGAATAAAAGACGCATGGACTTTGAATCAAGTAACCAATTAGCCATTTATGCTTAGCCTAATTCACCCATGCACGTATATACGATTAAACACGTTGCAATCATGTGTAGCTAAAGTGATGCATATAAATTGCACCACTACTCTTACAGAAAGAGAGTGGAAAGTGTGAAGGCGGCATAGAATCAACAAAAATCATACTATGTTACTCCAAAAACAGAAAACGAAAAGCAGCAAAATCATTTGACGAAAGTATTTAAAAATACTAAACTTTTACTTGGTATGGACTATCTACAAATGTACTCAAGGATATACTATTTAAACTCTACTCCTACGCATGCTTTGCACAAAGAAATTTTAGCAGATAGGGCTAACTTATTTTCACAGGCTTACTATAATATCACTTGAAGCCTTAATTAACCATGTATATTAAGGGACATAATTGAAGTTATATATAGAACATTTATTTTTATGAATTGCACAATTAGCTTGGTAGTCTTATATAAGATCAAGGGAGTTAAAAGGTTTCAAACCTTGGGAACTTATTATTCTTCACAGCCTTTTGCCCATACTTCCTCCACCTATACCCGTCGTCAAGAACGTCGACTTGACTCCTTGTCTGAAACGCATATCGAGGCCTCCTTGCCTTCTTCTCCTCCTTCTTCTTGGTTGGCTTGTCGAGACTTGTCCCTGCCTCATTCGATGAAACAACAAGAGATTCTCGAATCCCTTGTGACGATCTTGAAGCCCTAGTAGAAGGATCCTCCTCCTTAAGCCCTTGCACTAGAACCCCACTTAAAGTGTCGCTCGTATAGAGATTGCCATAGGGAGTATGAGATGTTTGTTGTGGATGAAATAATAGGGGGTAAGTATTCTCCATGGAATAAGTGAAGGAGGGATGATTTATGAGATGAAGAGAATATAAAGGGAATTAAGGTGAATCTAATGAGATGTGATTAGAATTTTGATGGAAATAGATGGGTTGGTGGGTGTCGTAAACGGCACGTAAATGAAAGGGGCAAGAAAGCAAGTTCTTGGTTTGGCTAATGTTGTGATGGGTGGAGGTATTATTTCATTGGATTGGGGAGAATAGTTGTGGCTACATGTTACAATTTTATCAAGTGTGCATATCTATTCTATTGTGACGTCTTCTTTGTTTGTATGTTGGATTTGTGTGCTTGTGTTTGGTCACGAGGATAATGGATTAAATTATGTGGACCTACCAACATGTAGTAAATATTTTGATGTATAGCGCACGTGTGATTGATGCAAAAGGTATATATGCTCGGTAGTAAGGATATACTTGTGCGAATATGGTGGAAAGATACAAGTCATATAATCACGGAAAATAATACTCTTATACGATATATATAATACAATAATAAAACCTTCATCCCAGATTTCTTTGGTACGCTAGTTATTCATATTCTTAGATTTATCATCTAGTTTCATTAATTGCTTATAATACAATTAGCGAAGTGAGAACTCTTGGCGGTCTGGTGGTGCATGTTAGCGGGAGATCAGTTCTTTGCTAATTTGCACCCCCGCCTAGTTTCTAATGAGGAGGAAGAAGAAAATAGCAGAGGGATCATTGACAGCGAGCTGAGAGATTCTATGTTTGAGTACACTTCATCATCTAAAGCTAAGAAAGGATCAGAACCCACTAAGATCTCTTTGAAAGCCATTGAAATGGAGAGCACAGGTCCGAAAGGAGCTAAGAAGAAGTTGCCGGTCTATGAAGTTCGTGCTAGATCTCAATCATTGTTGGAATCTCCTCCGATGAGATCTAATAATTTGATCGCAAGAAATATGAGTAAGTCTCCTCACTCAATCTCGTGGGCGGATGAATCTGAATCTGAATTGGTTGTTTCTGAGTCTGGATTGGTTAAGATTTCTGCTCATAATTCATCTAATGTCAAATCTGTTGATAGTATTGCAGATCTTAAGAAACTTTTTCAAGTTGATGAAATCATTGATGAGCCTGAGAAAGTAGCTCAAGAAGAGGATAAAACTAAGGAAATTAACATTGCAGGGATCAATAAAACATTTATTAGTATGTTTGCGGATAATCGAAAATCTAGAAATGGATTCTCTTTGAATTTTGTTCAATCCTCTCAAAATAACACTGTCAAATTCTCAACTGAAGAATGGAAGGAAGGAGAGGTTTATTGGAAGCATGCTTTGATTAGATATGTTATTGGTTTAAATGTAAAGTTTCAAGCTACAGAATCTTATGTTAATAAGATTTGGGGGAATGTTTCTATTCCAAGAATTTATCTAATCAAGCAAGGTGTTTTCTTGTTTGACTTTCAATCAGTTAAACAAATGCAAGAAGTCCTAGAAGCAGGTCCTTGGTTCTTTGGATCTAGGCCATTGGTCCTTAAACCTTGGACTCTTGATATTGATATGGACAAATTCTAAGCTTGCAACTATCCAATGTGGGTTCAATTTCTAAATTTGAAATTAAATTTGTGGACTTCAATTGGTTTAAGTAAAATTACAAGTGTTATTGGTAAACTAATCACAACTGATAAAGCTACAATCAAAAGGTTATATATGAACTCAAACCAAAATGGTGCTCTTATTGTAGCTTGGTTGGTCATGAAGCAGAATATTGCAGAAGACAAACTTTTAAAATGAAATGGATGCCTATCAATAGGCAGAAAGTGCCTGTGCAAGTTTCTAAACCTGGAATTGGTGTCCTTGAAGGGAATGTTGAAATAGGAGATAACACTGGTCAGTCTGGGAAAGATTTAAGAAGCACACAATCTGGGGATGATGTGTATGTTCATTAGATCATTGAACAGCAAGGAGAGCAAGCTAGGCAATTGTCTGAAAAACATGCACAGGAGGAAAATGTTAGTAAATCTGGGGAAAATACTACATTTCTAAATCAATATGGAGATGGTTCTTAATCATATCAAAGATATGTTCACCAAGACAATTCAGATAGAGGTATGTTCATAGGACAATCCAGTAAAAATATTTCAGGTGCTGATAAAAATGCACATTAGAATGTAGGAAACAGTAATAGTAAATATGCAACTGCAAATCCTTTTCATTGCTCTACTGCTATGAATGCAATTGGTTTCACAAGTGTTACTAGATCAAAATTAGGAGAAAGGTTCAATGACAATATTGTTGGGGGCTCTTGCATTCAAGCTTCCACATTCTCTATTATGGAGCAACATCTAGATTTTGACCCCTCTTGTATTGATAGGGGGTATTTCCCAATAATGCACCTGGCATTTTGGAATGTTAGAGGGTTTAATAAATCCTCTAAGCACTTGATAGTTAAGCATTTTATAAATGAATATAATCTCTCTTTTCTAGCTCTCTTAGAAACCAAAGTTGTGGGGAATAAAATGCAGTCCATTGCTAAGAAAGTGGCAAAAACTAGGAATGGATTACAAACGTTCCTGAAGCAAGAAATGGAAGGATTTGGATTCTCTGGGACAATGAATTTCTCTTAGTTTAAGTCTTATTTTCCTCCAAACAGCACATGACATGTACTGTTGATTCTAGAGATGGTAAGCTTTCTTGTACAATCACAGTTGTTTATGCTTCAAACCAAATGGATGAAAGGAAAATTCTATAGCAAGAATTGCTGACATTTAACCAAAATAGTCCTTGGTTAGTTGGTGGGGACTTCAATGCTATATTGAATAATGAAGAAAAACTGGGAAGTGAACCAGTATCTGACACATATACCATTGATTTTCAAAATTTTATCAGTTCTAGTAAACTAGTTCATCTCAAGACAACAAGATGTTTCTATACCTGGTGCAATAAGCAAGAGGCTGAAGCAAGGATCTGGTCCAGACTTGATAGAGTTTTGGTAAATAAAGATTGGATACATCAATACACTTCCAGTCAAATAGAATTTTTAGTGCCAAGCTGTTCTGATCATTCCCTTGCACTGATAACTATTGGAGAAGATAATTTTGATGGAAAAGGCCTTTTAGATTCTTCAATATGTGGATTAAGCACCCTGAATTTCTTCCAGCTGTTAAATAAGTTTGGGAACAAAATGTTAGGGGATACAATATGTATAAAGTTCATACTAAGCTCAAGTCCCTGAAGCCTATCCTTAAAGAGCTTAATAAGAATCACTTTATGAACATTAGTGAGCAAGTTCTTAGAGCCAAAGATGAATTATCTGGAATTCAGAGACAAATGGGTGCTGATCTTCTCAACTCAAACCTACCATCAGGGAAAAGGAAGGCATCAAAAAGTACATCAGATTGCTGAGTTTGAAAATTCCTTATACAAGCAAAAGGCTAATATCTCTTGGAGCTTGCATGGTGATAAATGCACTTAGTTCTTCCACTCTGTCATGAAAATTAAAAGGCATCGCAACAGGGTAATGTCAATTTACACTGAGGATGGAAGCAGAATTACTGATATGCCTGATATCATTAAGGAGTTTACTGATTATTACAAGAGGCTCTTAGGCACTGCTACTATTGTTACAAAACCTAATTTGGGAGTAATTTCTAATGGTCCTATCCTATCTCCAGCTCAAAGTGCCACTCTCAGTCTTCCTGTCAACCAAGATGAAATCAAGCATGCTGTGTTCTCAATGTTTGAAACAAAAGCACCAGGTCCAGATGGGTATAATACTGCCTTTTTCAAATAAGCTTCGGATATTATTAATGGTGATCTATATCTTGCTGTGGAGGAATTCTTCAATACTGGAAAGCTTCTTGGTACGTTTAACTCTACAATTATCACATTAATCCCTAAAATTCTGAATCCAAGAACTGCTTCAGATTACCGTCCCATCTCTTGTTGCAATTTGATTTATAAAGTCATATCAAAAATTTTAGCTGGGAGAATACAAAATGTCATGGGCTATCTGATAAATGATGCACAAAGTGTCTTTGTCAAAGGGAGACTTATCTCTAACAATATTCTTTTAGCTCATGAACTAGTTAAAAATGATGGTAGAAAACATACCTCTCCTAGAGCTATGCTAAATGTGGACTTGAGAAAGGCATTTGACTCTATTAGCTGGGATTTCATTAAAGCTATGCTGGAGGGTTTGAGGTTTTCTAGCATCATGATAAACTAGATTATGGAATATATATCATCTCCTAAGTACTCACTAGCTCTCAATGGATCTTTGCATGGATATTTTAAAGGTGAGAGGGGATTAAGACAGACCCTCTTTCTCCTTATTTGTTTGTGATTGGGATGGAATATCTCTCAAGAATATTAAATGCTCTCAGAAATGATAACCTCTTCAAGTATCATCCTAAGTGTCACAGTCAGGGGATTACACACTTGATGTTTGCAGATGACCTACTCCTCCTTGCTAGAGCTGATGGATATTCAATTTTGAAACTATATAATTGTCTTTAGGAGTTCAGTAGGGTGTCTGGGTTAGATGCTAATCCTGCCAAATGATCTGTATACTTCAGTGGTATTTATGATAATCTGAAAAATCAGATTTGCTCATTGCTAAATTTCCCTGAGGGGATGCTACCAATCCGCTATCTGGGATTACCACTTATTTTAAAGAGGTTATCTTACCTTGATTGTTCACCTCTGATAAGTAAAATCTCTGAACAGTTCCTTCACTGGCAAAAAAAGAGATGCCTCTCTTATGCGGGAAGACTGCAATTAATCAAATCTGTCATATTGGGAGTTTAAATTTTTCGGACTAGCAATTTCATCTTGCCTGTGAAAGTGCTAGAAAAAATTGATGGATTGTGCTCAGAATTCCTATGGAATCACAAAATTCATCAAGTCTCTTGGAATAACATATGCGAAGGAAAAAAAAAAGGGGNGGGCTAGGTCTGTATTCAGCCAGAACATGGAATCATGCAGCTACACTAAAACTGATTTGGATGATACATCAGAAAAAAGACTTGCTTTGGATAAAATGGGTTCATAAAAACTATATACATCAAACTGATATTTGGCAAATTCAGCTTAGAATGTCAGATTCATGGATGTGGAGACAACTTTTGAAAGTTAGGGACATGGCAAAAAT